TATTATATATATATTATACATATATTGATTATAATATTATTAGATATATATTGATATAATAATAATATATTGATATAATATCCCTCTGATTTCTAATATTATCTGATATAAATTTTAATAGACGTGTATATTTCCTTATATACCTTTTAATTTTAAATACTTGGATGAAGCATAAAAATAACATCGAAAGAAGTTAAATTTTTTAAAACAATAAGACTCCATCCAATTTTATCTTTATATCTTGCCGTCTTAAACGTGATAATTGAATTAGCGTGGTTACGCAAACAAATCGCGTCATTGGATATACGGATGCATATTGCATATATGCATCCTGCAAATATAATATCCGGTATATCTCAAATACAATTTTAAACTACTTTCAATGTACCTACGTCAGTAATACTCGACAAGTGCGTATGCACGTACATATTTATAAAGAATTATTATAATTGAGAAAAAAGTATCAGATGGGAAGGAAGAGTGTAAAGAAAGTTTTAGTTTGGAATAATAACAACTCTTCTCTCTATTTAAAGACATAATTTTTAACTACAAATCTTAATATCATACATTTTTTAACTGTATTACAGAAATCATTAAAAATATATATATAACAATGAAAGAAAGAGTAGTAGATAAAAAAGTTTCAGTTCGTGATAATCAAAAAGTAGCTTCTTTGTTTAAATATATAACTCAGCCCCAAATCTTAGACCAGGTTGCGTCAATCGTTACTTCGGTTCTCTCTTTAAGCGAGACTTAAATCTCTATCTATCTTGTTTTAAAAGAGAGGGAGAAAGAGAGGCAGAGAGAGAATTTTAAGCTTAAATTCTCGTTTAAATTAAGTCAACGTTGATGCAACCGGGCCTTATTACATATAATTTTTTAATTTGATTATAAAAATTATAAAATAAGGAGAGAGGGAGAGAGAGAGGGAGAGAGAGAGAGAGAGAGAGAGACGTATTTTTATCGAGAACAGTTTAAGAAGGAGTCTGTTCGAACGTTAAATCAAGAGGCGTAGCTAATAAGCTGCATAGATCATAGATGGTACTAGCATCTCAGTTATGCTCGACGCAGGGTTATCACAATTATCAGATATATTTATATGTATATAATCGTATCGTTGTTTACGGTTGAAGTATTTGTGATTCCTGTATAATAGATTGCGAGATATAAGTTTTTCGAATTTAATGTGCGAGTGAATTTCTGCCGGAAACTCGCGAAACATGTCGAGAGCCGTAATAACAGATGTACAGCAACCTGATCCTAAGTATCGAAGACAACAGGTTAGGATTCTTGTGTTTAATGTGCAAAATTTATTACAGTCGAAAAATATAGATATATATTGCATAATTTCTTGATTAAGATTAAAAGGCAAAGCGATAATTTTTTAAATATTTTATGTATATTTTATTTATTCGTAAATACAATATATGTAATAACGGTTCTCTCAAATCTAATTGTAATCGCATAAATTATAGGAAATGTACTTGACGCCAGAGGAGATGAGGGCAATGCGACAATGCGTGAAAAACTCTAGTAGCCTTGCGCCGACAATAATTTCTGCAGCCATAGGATATGGGATATGTAAGATGACTCCATTTCACGCAAATGCCAAATATGTCGCCCTAGCTAGTAGCGTAATAGGTATGATAATGAGTAGATTAAGCGCTGTCAACTCGTGTATGATAAAAGTCGCTTCCATGCCGGACAGTCACAATCTTCGAGAGAAAATGAGACAAGTGGGGTATCTTGGAAATGTCTCTCCTTATAGGTATTACAATTGGTTGTCTGCGTTTGTTTATGTTTTTCGTTAAAGCTAAGTTTTACATACCTTTGTTTATAGAGAGGCATTATATTATCAAGGTCCTCAATCAGAAGTTCAAAGCCCAGCAGAATCATCTGCGGAGATACAATTCGATGATTACCCACCGATGAATTCATACGATACGTATTCCAGTATCAATCCAGACAACAGTGAGTTGTTAAAAATTATTGTTAAATTTTCTACACACCTATTACTATGTGTTGATAACTGTATAAATGATTAAAGGTGATTTCAACGTCTCCGAGGACACGGATTTGTCCAAATCGATAAATATACAAAAAGAGGTCAGTTATGAAGAGTTGAGGCATCAAAATAGAGATGAGTTCTATAAGAAACATAAACAGTATACTCCCAAAACAAGAGAACTTCCAGTAACGAAAGAGACAAGCGAACAGGTTCCCACAACCAGCAGCCGATCACCAATGCAAAAGGAAACTAAATACGGTGACGTGTGGGATTAAAATTAAATTTCGTTGGAGTAGTATAGTTTGATGATCACCGCGTATTATGGATATTATATGTGTATATTATGGATATTATATGAATACATAGACGGCACTGCAAATGTAATAAGAAAATTTGACTAAATATATTGTTACTAAATATTGAATAAAATAAACGACATAAATCACGTTTGCAGTAATCATGTCAATACAATTGAATTCTGCACGACAAAATACCGCATTCGTACTGTCTAAACAACGTGTTGAATGATTCACGAGCTTAGATGGAAACGCGAGATGTAACTCGTGTCCTACCACTCATAATTGAGTCACAATCTCGCGAGATAGCGGTGAGACACAAACGGCTATGAGGCGGCTAATTGATAGATGACGCCAAGCCATAAATGCGCGTAAATGCAGCTCGTTCTCTCGCTCTCTCGCTCGCACAAAGCAATGCGATGTAATGTAACGCTAGGTGATACAGCGAGCTCTCGTCCCCGTCATCCCGACTATGGTGTCATCCCCGCCGTGTGTTGTCACCTTGACGTACCCAGGATAGAAACCTCGCTCACTTCCCTGTCATAAGAACCGTCGCCGCGCGCGCTCGTTCCCTATATTTTCCATAAGTTAACCGATAATTGCCGTTCGGTATTTGTCGTACGACTCGCGCGTCTCGATTTGCATCGACTCCGCCAGCGAGTCGTTACATTTTCCTCGCGCATTGCTCGCGAGTCGCGAGTGCGATTATCTCCGCCACCCTCTTGTCATCGAGCGACTTAATCGCCGTCCCGGAGAAATTGGAATTGCCGTTCTTGCCTTCGGGTCGAGTTGAGAGCGTCGAATCGTAACGCCTTTCGCGCCTTTCCATGCACAACCAACACTTTGTTTTCGACTTTGTTATCTATCCGATTTCTGCACGATAAGCGCGATTCGACTCGTGTGAAATCCTCGCTTTGGCGAGAGTCTTACGATAAAGAAAAAAACGACGATAGTAATTATTTACGTAATTATAAGATAAAATATAGATAAACGGCGAGGCAATAATATAAGCCATAATATATAAGCGCTCCGCGTTTCCCAGCCGTTTAAAGGTCTCGGAGTTTGAGTTACGATTTAAAACGATTTCGCACGATTAGTAATTTTTCCAGAAAAGTCAGTAGCACGGCACGGTATTAATAGGATCCGGTTGATTTACTTCGGTATCTCTTCTCGATCTTCTCGTCGTCGCTCGCTGTATTCTCGACGTATATAGGTATGTATGTGTATCTATACATACACTTATTACACGATCATTTCGCTTTATTTGCCCGCGCGCGCAGTGCTTGCGAATGCGAGTCGACCGCCATTGGCTATCGGGCGCGACCAATGGGCGAGTACTACTCCCATTCATAAGTCCCGTCGCTTCCGCGGGGGACGTAAGTGGGGGAGAGCGGCGCGCGAGCGGTATTTCCCCTCCTGCCGCTGCGTCTCGCGGCTAAATTCTCACTGGTCAGCCGTGCTCGTCATTCGCTCGCTTGCGCGTGCTCGCTCGCTGTCTCGTATTCAGTATTGTTCCGAGTTCCGAGTGTCCCGTGAGGTTTCCCTCAAATAATACCTTTGATCTCAAGCAGAACAAGTCATTATAATATCAAAATAATGTCAAAATCACTCCAAAATGATCATTAAAAGTCATTTCCGATTCATTTTAATGTCATTTCAACGTTATCGTAACTTGTTGTTCTGCTTGGGATCATTATATGATCTTATTTGTCACTTATAAGTTCATTTTCAAGTATCAAATGACATCATGATGATATCATTATGACTTAATTATGACTCTGTGTTCTACCTGGGCCTCGGCCGGGATCATTTTTAATCCTGAACTCGATGACATGTTCCGCTGTCATTGCGTTTTATCACGCAAACTTGTCATTCTCTCAGTCTATAAGTAAATAGCCTTTCGCATTAATTTTCTCTAAATTACGGTAATTTAATTTTCTCCCGTGACTATCTGCCTCATAATTATTCCATTACTTTACCAACGGCATACCGTGAAGTAATTATAGTAAACTAAGGAAAAACGGAGATATTAAGTGTTCATTGTCAATCACAAGCAATATATCGCGAATCGTATGTTTTCTTTATCGTCGTCACGAGTTAATCTCAAATTTGGAAAGCAAATTTGTGATCACGTTGTGCGGTAATTGATAATATCATTGATATCGCACAGCGTGATTACGAGATAAGAGGGGAGAAAAGAATTTCCGAAACTCGTAAGTTATACTCGCGCTCATTATCTCTCTCGAAGTAATCCAGTTCCCAGAAAATGTCTCCCTCGGTCGGCGGGCGTAAGGAATGTAATTCGCGCTGTATTGCGTACGTTTCGGAGGGATTACTTCTGGATCCCAGGAAACTCGTCGGAATTTCGAGCGTTGCACGTATATACGTGTATATATACACACAACGTCGTGCGCGTCACGATTCACGTGCCTGGTTAAACGATCACGTGTAGAAAGGGGAGTCACGCAGGTGCAGGTCATGTGAAATATTTGCACTTTGTCGTAATTTGCGTAACCCATTGCATATATAATAAATCCGCGCGGCGCGGAGCTAAAGCGCCGCGATAGAAAATCGTTTCACAATCTAAAGAGAAAGGGAACCTTTCTGCCTCGTCGCGGTCGCGAGGGAGAGGGTGAGGAGAGGCGAGGCGAGGAGAGGAGAGGAGAGGAGAGGAGAGGAGAGGAGAGGAGAGGAGAGGCGCGCTGGCGGGCGAGCGAGCGGGGGATGGGGAGAGTGAGAGCGGAGATGCATACGTCCGCTTCTCCATCTTATTCTCTCGTGTATTATATTATGCGATCGCATTATAGACGCGCGCGGATATATCGCGACTCGCGAGAAGCGCATCGCATTCTCGACTAATCGGAGTCGCGACGATTTGCGGAATACGATTAACGCTCGCTAATTTTGTTAACTCGAGCTCTCGGCATCCCCCGTCGTGATCATAGATATAGATTTATCACAAGACCCGTTTTCAGATTTAATAATCGATTTGTTCACCCATAGGCGTAATCAGGATTTTGTTAAGGGTGGGTTTAAATTAAAGTTGAGACTTTTGAACCCGAGGAGGAAGGAAGAGGATGATCGAATGATATAGATTGTTAGACTCGTTTTCTTTTTTTTATTGTTGATCTCTTGCCCCCCTTTGGCTACGCCCGTGTGTTCACCATTATCGTTGTCACAATATAGCTGTCGATGAAGCACATTGTTATATCCGTGGCAAAGTTAAAAAGATTAACGTGCGTTTGTAACGTAACGTTCTAGTGTTAGTGTTTATTTCTATCAATGTTGATTAATTTTAATCTTGATTCAATTCACTTCTTATCTTTTTCTCTAATTTTTATTTACATTCTTATGAAGAAAAAATACTTGTAAAAGTAGTAGGACACCAAACAGGCTCCAAGGAGTAAGTCAAATGATACAAAAATGCAATCAAATGTGAACCAATACAAAATCTTCGTGTGATTAAAATTCAATACATTTAAAATCAGTTTACACACGTTTCGATCTCAAGAATTGAATCCTCTTCAGTGTACAACAAATGTAATCAATAAATTATAGGTTGATATTAATGTTGTAATTAAATCCAGAACATCGTTAATCTATTACTCAGTATACATTCCTATGAAAAAAAATTGTGATTAACGAAAAATTGTAAATTAACGAAATATGTTGAGTAAACTTTGATGGGAAAGTAAACAGAATTTTTAATTATTATAATCAAATATTTTGGAACACGCACAACATGTAGATATGATACCGGTTAGAGTTTCATTAGTGCTTAATGAAATAATATGCATATATGTAATAATAATATCTATAAGCAGGTTATTATGTTTCTACTACAAGAAAAAAAGAGCATGATCGGATTAACGTGACATGTAAACCGGTTAAAGAAATATAAATCTAAACAGATTTTCTACTTATCATAATTAAATAATCTGATATTTTTTAATTAAAAGTATTTTTATCAAAATTCATGCAACCAAATATGCCATAACCAGAATGTACGCACTGAAAATTTGTTTATTTTAACATTTGTTAAAATATGTATTCGTTTAATTTCAGGCTCAATCAATTTTTTTCAGTATAGAATTAAAAAAGGATAAAAAATTAATTAAACCGGATTAAAGTTCAACTGAAACGAGCACAAGTATGTAAGAAAATATAGGAAAAAAAAAAAGAAAAACTTGAAGATTAAAACGCGCATCGTAATGAAAATATCAAAATGCATATCAATATCTTTTAACTCTTCATCACGTTCTTAATTGCTTGTGAATCCTTTCGCGTTTCAGGTTGAAAACAGCACACGATCAATTTGTTTATACGAACATTTCCAGTACAGCCTTCCAATTTCATTGGGAGAAAGTTGGGTGCGTGATCGAACTTGTTATACGTATTACTTTATAACGGCTTAATAAATGGCTCAAAACACAAAATTATGCACCAATCGTGACTCTGCAGAGCTCTGCCTAATAGTTTAGCATCGTAGTCATTTTGCAGGAAATACATGAAATTAAGATAAACACAGCTTGACGCGTTGTCAAAATAAAAATAAATAAAAATAAAGATACAATCTTGGATGTTTTAACCAACAATCGTGTTCTATAGGGTGTGACGCCTCGAGTACGCTTGAAACTGGTGCAGCTTTACGTGTCAAGGCGTTTGCGACGGTTAGTTACATCATGTGGTATTGTTTCAAAATTAATTATTACGCCATTTTCAAACCGGTCGTTATTTCGCGCCGGCAGGGTGAGTAACGTCGCGCGCGTAACGTCAGTCACGTGACGTGGCGCGCGTGTCGCGATTCGTTCTCCTATGAATTCAAAATTCGCCGCCGCATTTCGTGCTCGCGATCTCGTCGACGTCGCGGCACAACGGGAGATTTAGACGGTGGTGGGTTTCGAGGGGTGATTCCGGTCGACGGCGGGATGGAAGAAAGTAATCGCGAGATACGGCACGGCCGCGAAAGCGGCAGAACAGGGAGAAATCGGGAAGAGGACAGAGGAACGTTGAAAGAAGTGTGCCAAAGTCGGCGGAGGTAGGAGACCCTCGATAGCTCACGTCAATAATCGCGCGCCGTTGAGACGCGCGGGCGGCGTTCACTTCGCGTCTTGTCTTCAATGTTTGTGCGGAAGAAGGACGCGATGATCTGCGGAACGCTCGCTCGATCGAGACGGCAGAATCGTAGGAGACCGAAGGTGAGTGAGTAGGGTAGGAGACATTATTATGTGGGAGGGGGAAAGTGTGTATATACGCGGATGAATACTCGATGGAGCGTAGAGAGAGAGAGAGAGAGAGAGAGAGGGGGGGGGATAAGACGAGCGACCGACGCGGCGCGGTTAAGGAAGAGAGATCAAGAGAGAAAGAGGGAGAGAGTGAGAGGTGAGAGGCGCTCGCGCGGTGTCAGGACGGGGGCGTGCGCTCGATGGCCGCCTAGACCGCTCGAATCGGTCGCGCCCGGGGCGTGAGCCAGGCGCGCGAGATCGGGAATGAACGTGGGAGAGAGACAGAGAGAAGCGACACACTCGCCGCTGCTCGTCGCGGAGGGCTGCGTTCGCTATAAGCAGTTACTCTGGAACCGTTGCCTTGACGACACGCATCCACGCATGCGCGTGCGCAGCGCGGACGGTACGCGAACGCAGTTCAAGAGTTGTGCCGTGCGCGCCAGTTTCATCCGTCACCCTCGCCTTCGTATCATCATCCTTTCCACCACCATCACCACCATCACCACCACCACCACCATCACCACCACCACCGATACCACCACCACCACCCTCGCCTTCTCGCAAGTCTTCTCTCTCTCTCTCTCTCTCTCTCTTTCTCTCCCACCCTTTCTCTCTCTCCGCCCTCATCCTCGTGGTCCTCCGTGGCGAGCACGCGCGCGCGTCAACGCGTTAACGGGAGTGCGCGCTGTCACCGTCGAGAAACGTCATTTCGCGGATCTTGTGGCGATCGACTACGATCGGCGTACTCGATCGTTCGCGAACGCGCGCGCGCGCGCGCGTTTTATCCTTCCCGAATCCTGCTGGAATCGTCTTCCTCTCGTCTCGTATCTCGCGAAAATTTAATTACGTTGGTAACGTAACGTACGTTCGAGATTTGTCGCCGATTTGTTGTTCGAGTGCCGGCTAAGCTGATGAAAGTGTTTTTTGTCGACAGGTGAAAGGGTTTCCTTTGAGAAGAAAAACAAAGAAAATTATCGGATAAAGGAACGCCCGATCGAACGAGGAACGCGATGACGATTTCTTGCAGGAGAAACATTTTTCTCACGGAAGTATCTGATTGTAATCGATCTTCCACGTGAACGTCGCACAGTGCTCGAACGGATCAAACTAGTTTCGAACTTATTCGATGTCTCCGTTTGGGAAACGCGTTCCCACGAGAACTCGAAGAGTATCGTCAGTGAGTCGTGTTTTAATTTCGATATCGGAGTCGAATGCTTCTTCTCCCTGCTCGCGTTAGTGCCTCCCGACAGCGGCGCGTTGGCGGCGTCGGCGATGACGGCAAAGACGACGACGTCGCCGATCGGAGTACTCTTTTTCTATCGAGAAAAGAATAACTTGGACTAATAGTGAAAACGCGTCTATTTTTTTTACAGGACGCGATGCTCGCAACGACATTCGACGAGCACTCGGCAGTCTGGTGCGGGATAGTGTTTTGCGCACGGAATTCCTTGGATTCGACGCGCGGGACGTCAACGCGGTTCCGATGTACGTGACTTGTCGTGATCGCCGAGTATCATCGGATATCGCGAATCGAAGTGACATTACGTGAAAGCCAGCCGTGCGGGAGACAGTGATGTCCCGTTTTTTATCACGGTCCATCCGGAGAAAGGGCGGATCCAGAATCTAAAAGGAGGAACCCGGATCGAGAGAATTTGGAAGACAATCGGAGAACAATCTTGTTCAGGAACAACGTCCGGAGATTCTTCTCTTCGCACCAGCTGCGCCTCCGCAGATGGAAGATGATTATAGTATCACGCTGTCGTCCTTTACCTCGATCGACCTGAAGAGAAGGACGAAAGATTGAAATAAATAGTCGGAGAAGGAGGGATCCGAGGATCCTCGCGAATCGATCCTCTCAGCCGTCGGCCGGTGAATATCACGGCGCGAGCGGCAACGGTCGTGGGTTGGATGGTGCCGCGAGGATTAATCCTCGGCAGGACGACGACACGGGAGCCGGAGCCGGAGCCGGAGCCGGAGCCGGAGCCGGAGCAGCTACGCTTTTACGACTCTCCGCCGCCACGGATGGACGCGAGCGTGTGCTGTTTGCCCGCCGGTGCCGCGGCCACCACGGGGGTTACGCAGCACCCTCATCCGGCGTCTCTGCCCGGTTTACCGTCCGCCGTCGGCGTCCAGCCGCCGACGATCCAGCCGTCCTACGCCGCTCAATACGCCGCCGATCAGATAGTGCCCGATCGGGCCCAACCCGACGGACCCCTCGCGACGGTACTCGGATGCAACGCCCAGGACAGCTGGCAGCAGATCTCGTCGACGGCGTCCACCGGGATCACCGGGATCACCGGGATCACCGGGATCACCGGAGCTGTCACCGCCACTACCACCGCCTACATCGACTACTCGTGGCTTCAGATGCAGGTAAGTAATCGACTAGTCTTCTCGACTAGGAATTGTCGGAACTCTTATACATACGGGGGTCTACAATAGAAGTTATAGTGGTCGTAGGAAATAGTCGTCTTAAGTCGTAGGAAATTTACCAATCATAGTCGATTATTCTTCTCGATATTCGACTGTGATCAGTCTCTAAATTTCTTCCAGTGAAATCACATTTCGAAAGAGTGAAAACGCAACCACCCTTGAAAACAAGTCAAAAATATTTCACTTCTTGAAAAAGAATGACAATTTTCATTCTTTCCAGAATGAAAATCTCACTCCAAAAAAGTAAGATTCCACTTCTTTCGAGTGAAAATCACTCGAAACAGAGTAAAAATTGTCACTCTTTTTCGAGAAATGAAGGATGGTTGTATTTTCACTCTTTCTTAGAGTTAGATTTTACTGCAAGAAATTTAGAGAAATTTAGAGATTGATTAATTTTCTACAACTTCTATTGTAGACCCCATATCACGATTTACTCTTCTCTTGTACGTTAAGTCGTACTCTGCAATCGTACGAATAAACATGACTCTCTTGCCCATCTCTGCCAACGATAGATTAGCTTCAATCTTGATTTAACTTATCTTTTATCTTCTTCTAGTTCTAAGAAAAAGATAAAGAATAAATTAAATTAAGATTGATATTAATCTCGGTACATTGGTGAAAATAAACGTCTGAAAGATATGTTTATTTCTTTGATATCGATATGCAAAATTGCCATATTGTGTGAACGAAAACGCGCGTGTATAACATGTATGTTATAATTTAGCTCATAATATGAAATAAATTTGAAAGTTTTGAAATCACATCATGCACGGAATCGAAAAACTTAAAGCTGTTGATACATAAGTAAACAAATAAGAGTGAGTTTTCTCTCGTTGTTTTTAGAAACTAAAGTTTAAGAACTAAATAATGCATGGGAAGATAGGTCTGAGTCAAAAGATCAAAAGAAATCGAATGAATCCATTAGTAGCGATTAGTAGTTTAGTCGAGAAAATTACAATAGAGTCTATTTATGCCATGACTTTTGTATTCCTGGCACAAATCGAATCTTCAGTTAATTAAGCGTAACTTAATTTGGTACGCGACATCCATGACGCAAATGTTGGTTTAATTTAAGCAGTAATACTTATCGAACCTTGCACTTAGTAAGTGACTTGAGAGAGCCGTTCGATTCTCGCTTTTCAATAAATTTTTTACGATAAATCTAAATATCTACGCGATGTCGCACACGTGTCACTTAGCTGACTAATATAGTTTTTAGCTGACTATAGTATTTAATCTGAGTAGAGCTGAGATTATAGGTTTTCAACTAGGCGTAATAATGTTACAGCTGTTAATTTTTTTTCCGGATATATTGATTATCGGGTACACCTTGGGAAAAAAAAAAAAAAAAAAAAAAAAAAAGACTCGGTAGGACTAATCCGTTCGGAATCGATACTTAACTCTGCTCATTACATTTGAAATTTAACTCAAGTATCATGATTAATGCGATTTGCTTTTATTCCTATCCTATTATCGATTTCCCATTAGCGCGTCGGTGTGATTTACATCGGCGATATATCGAGTGGTAGATAGTGGATCTCGGAAAAATGATGATTATTTACGTTCTTAATCATTCGTCAATCGCACGACTCCGTTTCGGCTCGGCTCCGCGCGCAACACTCCACGATAATGTATCAATTCCCGGGAAGCGCTACATCGTAAAATAATAGAGCGGAGTAATAATACCCATTACTATTATCTCGGTACGAGTGAGTACTATATGTTCTCCCCTTATAGACGTAGCGGCGTCTCCGCCACGTAAAGCCACGCTGTTGACAGGGTAAATATCCTTTGATACCGCGCCGTCCGTCTGGCACACGCGTCGTACGCCTCTCTTCTACCTTACGAAGGAAGTTATCTATGTGGCACACACGTGTGAGTGCGTGCGTGCGTGCGTGAGTGAGTGCGTGCGTGCGTGCGTGCGTGTGCGCGCGCGCGCGTGCGTGCGTGCCTACGTCCGTGCGATCTCTCACGCCACGAACGAGAGCGTGTACTTTTCACATTACGAAGGCCGTTTCGCTTGTCGTCGTTAAGGCTTCAGAATTTTCGTAAAGACCGCTATTTCGTTAATGAATCTGTCGGCCGTATATACAGGGTGATCCAAAAGCACGCCGGTATATGTATGGTTGTTCTTATTGCAGTTTCTTTTTTAGTTTAAAGGCAATTTTTTTTTTTCAACGAAAATGTCGAGGAACATCTTTCTTCATTGCGTTTTTCCACTTCTCAATCATTCATACCTATTGAATAATAACGGAAAAGATATCCATTTGAAAAGACGCTGTGTATGTTCTTATCCTCTTGTTGCAATTTGCGAAAGCGCGTTGGTATCGAATTTGTTCTCGTGATATTAGTTCTTGTAAAATATCTCAAAAGAAACCGAGATATATAATACTATGCCTCCTGTTATTGCGGCTCTTCTCATTTCTTTTTTCATACATAAATGATTTTACGCGAATTATAAATTGATTACTGAGATCGAAATCGATCGATCAAGTATGGAAAGTTTTCTGCTCGCGATGTTATCAAAAGAGAAAAGGCACGCGCGACGTTTCAGTCTCTCCCTGCCGAGACGAAAAGCCGGTCTACGAATTTTGCACAACGAGCACCTATTTACTTCAATCGGAAACCGGTTTTTTGATACCGTTATCGACTCCTGAATACTGTGTTTTGACGTGATATAACCGCGATTCGCCGTCAAATATCGACAGTATTTGAAACTTAAAGAGAGGATGGGGAGAAACGACTGGACGCGCGCGTTGCAACAATCGCGAAGCAGACACATAACGAAACTTTTTTTTTGTCTACAAAAGACGTTGGCATTTTCGAGTACCGTAAAATCATGCGAAAGAAAGTATTACACTTCCTCTCGAAACTGTGAGTTCAAGTTCTAAAGGAATCAATTTTATCATAGTGGATGAAATATTTGATAATTCATCCAAAACTTTACTTCCGTCCTGTACTTTTTTATCGCATAATGTAATTAAAATTTTTCATATATGTAATACATTATTTTAGTATTTTTTTACAATAAAAAAGGTTGGTTGATTTTCTCGAAAAATAAGGATATGCAACATTATTAAATAATTTTAATTAAATAATATTTTTATTATGTAACCAAATAATATATAATTAACCAAAACATTCCAAAGATCTGAGATCAGTTTTAAAAATATTATTCATTACGAATGTGAATATTACACGGAAAGAAGTTTCGTTGAGCATCTAAAAATTTAACCGGAATAAAGATCTGAAAATAATTTTATTGGACTATTTCAAAACAATTGCAATAGAATGCTCAAGTTTATTATTAGAATGTTATAACTTTTTGTGTAGCAAAAAGTCGACATTTTAATTTTACTTTGAATCTCTTTCAACTTTAATTAAACCTTATAAATTTGTTTTGATACTTGAACAATTAAATAGAATTTCTTAATATTACTTAATCTACAGCTTCTATTATATAGAAAACTTCTTTTGAACCTAAATATAGGAAATTTTGCAATAATTTATTAAATTAAAATCTATTATAAATCTCTAGAATCCACATATATCCTAATTATAAATCTTTAGAGTCTACATACATTCTAAAACTATTTTCAAAGTAGGAGCAAAATTCCGACTCGTGTGCTATTTATACTTCAATTTCCTACATTAATGATTTCGATGGTTGAACACAAAATTATTTTCAGATCGTTCCATTCTCGAAAACTTTTAGAGTCTCCGAGAATTGAACCACTCTTTTTCAAGATTGGCTCTTTAGAGTGAGATTTTACTTCGAAAGAATTTATTATTCTTTCTAGTGTATAATCTGAAGTATAGTATCGCACAGCATTTGCGTATGTCATATTCATATATTAGTATATTCTCGCTTAGGTTTTTCTTACAGGTTTTTCAATAATAATTTTCTTCAATATGAAAAATAAGAAATTCAGCTCGATATCTGTATCCACATATTTCGGTCTCACGCCGTCGACGGCAGGCGGGGACGGTCGACTAAATCGCGACCGGTAATTAGCCGATACCCCCGACGCAATCTAAACGCATTGTGACGCGCGTAAGATAATAAGCGGACGGAAATCCACGATTATTGTGCTGCTCGAGCCAGAAAGGACATCCCAACCACCACCGGACGAACCATTTCCACGGTTCACCGCCCTTCGTTTCAAAACTGCGTACGATTACCGTTCCACCGCCGATTATTTCAGTCGCTGTACAAATACAAACAGGGGTGGCGGGGAGGAAAGGCAGAAGCGCGATTAACATCGAGCGGAGATGATGACCTAACCGAAAATACGATGCTAATATTGTTCGTGTCGCTTCGCTTATTTCCACCGCCTGGCGGCAAATTCTTTATCTTGTAATGAGACGTTGTGACTCGCAAGGAATTGCTTTATTACAATCTTTCCGCGTTATAGATATATTCCAGATATATTGCTTCGTAATAAAATTATTACTTGCACGACTTTCGTATTAGTTCCCATCGCTAAATCTCTTTAGAGTGAAATCTCACTCCAAAAGAAATGAAGATGAAAATTCTGCTACTCTCTTGAAAACAAGTAAGTAGCAACATTTTCATTCTTTTACAGAGAAACACTTCGCTCTGTTGCAGTGAGATTCACTTCAAAGAATTTCGAGAGTACGTTCTCAAGTTTTTTACAAACTGTTTTTGCATTTCGATAGAAAATTTTTGTTTTACTCGCGATAGAGGAACGTAGAAACAGAACGACAGTTCAGATCGACACGAACGTAAAGAGTTGGGCTGTACCGATGTAATTGATCCTTTCCCGATGTTTTCTATGATTCCGAAGAACTCTTCGACCCGTCGTCATATTATCCAGCCTGTAGCCAGTGACTCACGTCGAATCGCGAACGTTGTGGGCGTGCAGTTACTTACGTTCTATACTTGCACTCACTTGGGGTCGATTGCGGTCGGATCATGT